GCAAGTCACGTTTCATCAGGAATGAAACCTCTCTCTCTCTCTCTCTCTTCTTTCTCTGCGCTTTTCCATCCATCTACGTTGTTTCCAAGCGGGATATGAAATCTCGGGTGGCTTGGGAATGGAATAGCTGGGCCACCCCGACCCCCGACCCCGACCCCGACCAAGACCGAGAACGGGCAGGACCCCTTCCCTCGCTAGTGCTCGTTGATTCTGATTCTGCCTGGAATGTTGGAGCATTGTCTGGCTGGAATCCGGCTGCTCACTAGTTGCATTCCGCGCGTTGTTCGATGGAGAGGACGGAGCACGCCAGCGAAGAATGCATTGTCTGTCTGGACATCCCTTTGCGAATTTCGACGGTCGGGAACATCACTCTCTTCGCGCGCATTCGGGTCGGAGCAGCTATCTTGACACGAATTATCTCTTGCCAGTGGCCCTATCTGCGCTGAAGACTGTTCCCCCCCTTTTTTGTCTTTTTCTCTCTTTTTTTTCTCTTTTTTTCGAAAGACTATTCGGGTGAGAGGAAGTACCGGTGGTTGATAGACGAGATGGCTTCAACAGGGTATGTACTTTGGGTTCCATCTACGACGGGTGGATGAATGCTGAGCAGAAGTAGCGATGGGACCAGTCCCACGGGACCCGATCCCAACGAGTACAAAGGTCACCCTCAACCGCCACCAGACGAGCGGCTAGAGTCTGCTTTCAATTTTCTGGCGGACGAGGATTCGGACAGACACCTGGATTTCGACTCCAGGGTCGGCGAGATCGAGGAATACGTAAAACACCTCGAGGATCGCAAGATACCTTGCTCGGAGCAGCTCCTCAAGGATGTGAAAGTCATGACTGCAGTCCACCGCGAGTGGGCGCAGCGCAGGACGGATCCCCCCCCAGACAGCAATTGTGACAACAGTCGACCGGCCCGGCAACCCTTCTCGACCAGGCTCATCTCCATCCAGACCGCGAAGGCGCTCAAGGCCCAGCGCGCCGCTGCCGGCACCGACAAGCAGGCCAGAGAAGACCACGCCCCCTACTCGGCCTTCCGCGAGGACGACCACGGCGAGTTTCTCGCGGCGATGAGAAAGGACGCCGCCGTGGACCCGGATGAGCTCAACCCGGCGACCAGCCTCCTGCACGCCGAGAGTCGCGCTTACGACTGGGCTCGTCTCGATCCCATCATGATCCCGTACTGGATGCACCCAACCCAGGGTATTCCGACGAAAGGCTTCTCGGCGGCCGATCAGACGCCCTGGTACCGAGAACCAGTCCCTCATCCTCTAGAGGCCAACCGCCCTGCTCGAGGATGGGTGCCTCGGTATCTCCTCGACACGGAGGAGCGGATCAACGGCCTCCTCAGGAAAGCGTCCAACACCATCGAGGAATATGCCGAGCTCGAAGATCTCCTCCGGTTTGTCGAGCCCTCGCATGTGCGCCAACTCCATGACGAGAACAGCGCTTTTGACAATGACGAGGTGGCCTTTGCCAGCATTCTCAATCACCTCAGAGATGATGATCCGGCGAAGCCCCTGTACGCGTTCAAGGAGAAGGAGCGGCGGGCCAAAATCGCGCAGGACTTTCTCGAAGCGTACGACGCGTGGCGAGCTACCTTCAACGACGTGTACTTCATCGTCCGGCTCCCCAGAGAGACCACTGTCGTCGAAGTCGAACAGCCAGGCGTTTTCTACGTCGATCACGGGGTTCCGGGGCCTGCTCGGGCGGTTGTTCTCCAAAGAGCCAGTGCCCTTCTCAGGTCCGACACCCTGGCAAGCCTCACACAGGACGATCTAGCTGCTTTCGCCCTTCTCGCGCAGAAATCGCAGGATGCTGAGATTACACATTACCAGAGAGCCAAGGCTGCACTGCTGCGGTCGGTGGGGGCAAATAGCAAGGACGATCTTGATGCCGGCCATAGGGCCACGTGGGACCATCTTCAGCATACAGAAACAGCGCTGCGTCGACAATGGCTCGTTAGAATATCACCACTTAACCCCGAGTTCAGGTATCTTCGCCCGGGGGAGATGGAAGAGAAACTGCCGAATATCTTGTACATTCCCTGGGAGATCACATCGGTACCAACAGTAGCGAGTCCGCTCCTGATCGAATTGGCTCTTCCTCGCGACGCCCAGGCCGCACAGGACACCATCAACGCGGAACTCCAGCAGGCGAGGGGGCCGAAGACGGATATAGATACCCTCTTGCAGTTTGTCCCAGCATTCTATCCTGCCCTGCGTGAACTGGCTGAGGCTCACCTGCGTTGGGATTTCCTCCAAGGCTTCGCCTCCACGAATTGGCGGGCCGAGGACTTGCGATTGAGGGGTATCCTGGACCCGATCTTTGTGCAACGGTTTGAAGCCTGGCATCACGGACTGGGACGGGAAGTCGTCGTCAAGATGCCCCGTTTAGATCAGGTCCCCGAGGAGCCGGGGATGCTGTACTGCCGCCACGAGCCAGGCCTGTGCGGTCAAGACGACTCGCCTGTCAAGATACAGAGCTTGGTAGATCTAGGGAGCTCGAGGAGTCCTGATCAGCAGATCGAACTCCGGAACCTGTTGGTTCGCCATCAGTACGCGGCACTCGACAGCGCGTGGCGGGCCTGGAAGGAGGCCGAGGGACAGTCTCCCAACCAGGCCAAAACCGACCAGTTGAAGCGCGCGTGGGAAGCCATGTCGGATCGGTGGACCCGGAGCATGGAGGGCTCGGTTATCACGATCAAGAAGACGCCGGATCCCCGCATCAATCCTGACAATGACCCTCGCGTGGTCTACTATCGAGGCCCGATAGCATTCGAGCGGCGCTATCCAGCGCTGGACGAGAGCCTCCGAGCAGAAATCCATGCGCATATTGCAGCGGGAAACCGTGACACCGAAGAGTTTCGTCCGAGCGACGACGGTCTTCTACCTGCCCATATCAGAGCTGCTTTGCACCGATACCTACATTCCGGTACCGCGCAAGACGGTGCGCTGTACGCATACCATCTTCGGTTGCTGTGGTCAAAGACGCTGCCGAGGTTTACACCGGATGTCGGTGTAGCTCATTCGCGTCAAGAGACGCCCACGGCTACACGTAGGCTATCGCAAGACAATCGGCTGGGTGTTGATCTTGCAAAGATGGAGCCTGTGATTGCTGCTCTCGAGGAAGACATCAATCACCTCATCAGAGATATCCGAGCGAAGTCAAACATTCAGAGGCGCCGCACCCTGTTGAGACAGATTGATATGCTGTTGAGGCAGTTCCAACCTCGTAGCATCAACGCTATCGAGGTCTTTTCCAGGGATCCGAACGTTCCCGAAACCGATCAGAGGGCTCTGAAGCTTGAGGCAGCGAGGCAACACGTCGTATGGCGACGGCCCATTGTCGAGAATGGGGCTGTCATATCCAGGTCCCAATACACGCCGGTTCCTCGGGGCAGTGTAGTCCTGGAATTCATGCCCAATACGGCGTACAGCGGCGAGGCCTTCCAGATTCAAACAAGGGATCCCGCGAACGTTCACTCTTTACTGGTGCACAAATATGCAGACTATGTCACCCCTGTTGCAGAAGTTCCAAGCGCTCACGACAGGACGGACATTGTCACTTTGCAGAGCACGATCAATGATCTGCTCAGGGTGAGAGCCGCGGGTACGGATTTCTCGTGGGATGAAAGCGAGCTGCTGCTTGCACGTTTGCGAGCTTTGATGCCGAATCGGATCTCGATTCAGGAAAAGGCCCACAGGCTGCTGGACCGCGACGCCAGAGAGAGGCGCGAGCCTGAGCATGACGAAAAGTTCTGGGAGTCGTGGGATACTTGGAGCAAGACGTACGACGCCTGGATCGACAGCTTCCCCGGTGGCCAGATCAGAATCGCAACAGCAGCCAATGCTGCGGACAAGACCGCCATACCGCTCACCGCAACCGACATAACGGCCGCGGCTCTGAAAGACTTGGCAGAGCCCAAGCGTGTCAAGACGTTACCTCATGTTGTCAAGAGTATGGAGAACGATGTGAACAGTTACCTGTACGGTCCACTCGAAACATACTCAGATGCGGATCGGCAAGTTGGAGATGCTCTGCTCTGGGAGCTATTCCGAGATATAAGGGAAGAGCTGCACGAAGTGCTCCTCAGGCACATCCAAGCCACGTACAGCACCGAACCGTTGGACCAGAACCATTTGACCGCAGAGCTCGCCGCTCTCGTCGAGTCGCTGGAGTTGCGTGCTTGTACCATCTTTAGAGACGAGCTGAGGCTGCTGGCGCCGAACCAGATCTCTATCCACGAGCCGCTTCCCGGCAAGTTCAGATTCTTGCCCGGCCCAGGGACCACTTTCGTCGGCGAGAAGCAGATAGCAGCGACTCTCGCAAGTCAACTCCTGATTGACAATTTCACGGACTCGAGGATGGAGTTTCTCGAGCTCACGTCGAAGATCAGGAGATACATACCTCTCACCCCAGAGGAACATGCTCGCTTGGAGATACAGGTTGCCTCGCTGTCTCGTGCGAACCTCAAGACCATGCAGGAGCAGTCGGACACTGTCGCCAGACGTCTGGCTAAATTCTCGACGACCCATAGCTTCGAAGGGGATGAGGAGGCAGAGCTCTTAGAAGTCGACCGGAGCTGTCTCTGGCACCGATGGGCCCTCAATTCTCTCGACCCAGGCCTCGGGGTGCTGCGTAATCCACCCTGGCCGGATGTCGTGGACAGATTGATCGCTGCGGGCGCGGCAACAAGTATTCGCAGCGACGCAGTCGTCCCCGTCGTAGCACCCAGCGAGTTCGAGATCAAGGAGCTGGAGACGGAGATCAACAATCTGCTCTCGAGGCAGAGGATGGGCTCGCTGGATGGTTCCCAGGAATACGAACTCTCCTTCATCCTCAGAGAGTTGTTGCCGACTGCGCTCCGGGTGGTCAAGATACGGATTGACGGGCAGGGAAGGGGAATCCTCAGCTCGGCTGACACCGTCACGGGGGGTCTGGCCGTACTGGAAGCACAAAAGGGCTTCGCTCAACGATATGCGCAGTACCTGCGCGACTTGCCTGCGTTTGGTCTCATCCTTGATACCTGGTGGTACAGTCAAGAGGTGATCGGTGCCGCTTGTTCCCGATGGAAGAGATTCAAAGATATGCATGTACACCAAGATGGCGTATCGCTGTTCCCAAGCACTTCTCGCCAGATCGAGAATACCCAGCAGAGGCAGTGGTTCCAGCGGTACGCCGTCCTCGTGGGATGGGTTGACCGTGGCTGCCCGGATCCTGCCTCGGCCGATGTGACATCGCAACTGCTGTTGGAGAACCTCGACAGCTCGCTCGCGAGTTTGCAAGCCGAGATCCGCAAGACCAGCTCTACACTGGCGGCGGCTGATGATCAGGATGCTGAGCTCTCTCTTCTGAACGTCAAAGAGGAATTCATCAAGGGTTTCATGGCGTGGTATACCTCCTTGGCTGTAAGTTCCTGTTACCTAACCGTCGACATTACTTTGGCTAACACGAATGGCAGCCCCAGCAGTTAGCTGACATCCGGTCTGGTGGTGTCCGGTCCAGCGCGGTCGATTTCACCGGCAAGGCGGAAAGAAGAGGCATTCAGAGAGCTGCCATCGAGATTGCATTGAACCTCCTGGCCACGAACCAGGAGCAACACCGACCCGCGGATCGCTTCCGACTCGTGGACGTGGATCGTCAATTTGTGCCTCCACGGAAGGAGGTCGCCATCTCACTGCCCCTCGAGGTTCCAAGACGGCAGGTCGAGTACGACACTTTCGACCTGACCAAGAAGATGATTGCCTTCCGCGAGTGGAAGGATTTCGACCACGAGATTGCGCGCGAACACCTCATACAAGACCCGGTGCTACTCCAGTCTGATGATACGGGCGATGGTCGGATGGACTACACGACGGATGTTCCAGAGGGTGTTGGCCGGGAGGTGTTCTACCTCAACCCTCCCGTCAACTACATGGGACCGGTAGCCAACGGCGACGCAGCCGACTGGATTGAGGTTCGCAAGGAGCGTCACGCCGTGTTGACCGATGTGGCGGTGCGCCTGTCGGATGCCTACACGAAAGCTCCGCGGCCTCTACTGCAGAAAATGCTTGAGCGCATGAGCGATGGCATGCGCCGGACCAAGGATGGAGATGATCACTCTGAGCCCCCTCTCACGAAGCCGCAACTTGATCTCCTGCGTGAGATATCGGGGGAGTCGTGGGATGATACGAGTCGGGAATACGCAGCGCCCATTCAAAATCACCTCTCAGAGGAGCCCACTGTGAGAGACCAACAGCTTGCTCAGCTCGCCGAGTTCGAAAAGAGGCTCGCGGAAATCTCGGATGTGCCCTTCTGGGTGCCGCTCGAAGAGGATCCGGGCCTTTCCCGAACTGACCAGAGCCAATATCCCCAACTTCGGCACTCGAGCACCGTCCGAAGCTTGCTGGGCATGTCACTTGATCATCTGCTATTGGAGATTGGCAGTATACGAGCACAGCACGAGATGGTGCCTTGGTCTCTGGAGGACATCCGACGATGTCTGCGTGTCATGAGAGATTTTGGCCGCATCCAGTGAGAAGATCCCTCTCTGTAGATGGACATGGACACATTGCTGACGCTAGCTAGCTACGACGAACCTGCTGCCGGCGAGCCTGAGCAGGTCTGCCGCATACCTCTCGCCGGCCATCCGGAAAACAAATACGTGATTTCCATCCCTACAGCTCAGTACTCGAACGGTGTGAGGACGATGCCGGACGGAAAGCTTGAGGTCACATATAACGCCCAGGGAGACAAGGGACCGGTAATTGTGCAGCCGAACAAGGAGACGTTCCTCCAAGAGCTCGCTTATGGACTCGGGCGGGAGATTGTGAACGTCCTCGAGGACATGAGGGCTCCGCAGATGACGCGACAACAGGCTGCTATCGTGCTGGACAGGGCGGAAGCCTTGGTCCAAAAGAAGATGTCTCTGCTGACTCCCGCGGACCGTGGTCAAACGGACGAAAGCTCCCCCGTCAACACCAACCTGATCAATCTTGTGTTGCTCGCGCGGGAGGCGATCGCAACTACGCCCAGCCTGGTAGCCGAGCTCGAGATCGACGATGTCGACAACATGAGTGAGCAGGAAGCTGCGGCAGTCATCCAGACCAAGACCCTCCAGGAACTCAGCGACAACTTCGAGCCCAAGTTCCGCGCGACGAACGACGTTTGGGGCTTCGCATCTGATCGCCTGGCGGAGCAAAGACGGGCCCGCAGCGGACGCGACGTCCCGGTCAAGCCTCGCCCGACGCAATTCTTCTCCATGCTGCGATATCCCGTGTGTTGCCAATCGCCAGCCGCGCAGAAGGCGATTGAGAGCTCGGGTCCCGTCATCGAGAGCAGGACCCAGACGCTGGTACCTCCTCCGCCTGGAGGCCGGCGAAGGGGAGCACATGACAAGACGAAGGTGAGGCACATCCGAGACCAAGTTCCGCATTACCCATTCGGCGAGACGCCATATCAAGAAGCGTACCAGAGTTACCTGATGGACTACGAGTTGCGAGATGGTATGTATCCCCCTTTCC